TTTTTGGGTTGTTCTTGGTCGATTGCGCACCATTTTGCTGAATAACGAAAGCAATAACAAAAATGGTGATTTTCAAGTTTGCACCATATTGCCCCGAACCGAATGCACCACATTGCCCCGAAGCACTTTTGTCACGTCAAATTCGGCTTCTCGGTAAAAATCGAAATAATCGCCAAAACAACACAAGATTCGTGTTAAGCGGGAAATTTCACTCAAGAAAATACTCACCTGATATTTTTTTTACGTGGAAATAATATTTTTCCTGATGCAACGAAATGAAACATTTATCCTTCCGCCAACAAGTGTTTTGCAAATGAAGCAGTAATTTTTATGACAGATGTACGAAGGTGGCTGCAATGACTTGCATGAGCATCGTCGGTCACCACGCACCTACCATATCGATGGCAAGCAATTTGTTCTATTCGTTCAGTTGGTACTGCCAATGCACCACATTACCCCGTGCACCACATTACCCCGTTCTACTCTATATATGATTTTCATATGATTTAATACTACCTTATACGATTTAATTCTTTTATGTATACGATTTAATGCGATCCTATATGTTTTTACATGAGTTTTATATATGATTTAGAAGCATTTAGTGCTTCTCGTTGAAACGGACATAAGCCCCTGTAAGCATTAAGCAAGGGCTGCCATTTTGCGCTCTTCATTAAGACGGACATAAGCCCTTATAACCCCAGTAAAAACGGTCATAAGCCTACATAAGGGCAGCCATTTTTTGTCATGGTACGTCACGTTCGTACGTCACGACCTGCCATTTTGCCATAAGCCTTATGAGCCCAGTACGGAATAGTAAAACCGTCTAGATTTAACGGAAATAGAAGCAACTGCTTTTCTTTTATATAATATTCAGTTAAGATACTACTTATGGTTATATTATGTTAAACTCTTAACAATTTATATTCTATGTATATCCTTATTTTTATTGAATACCTTTATGAATATCTCTACAATTTTTAGAAGCATTTTATTGTATTTTTGTAGGATGTATTGAGGCTGTGTATGAATAAATGCTGCCACTTCACAACAATATATTCGTATAATTAACAAACGAGTACAAAAATGGTTCTTGCGTCCGCACTCCAAGGCGGTCGACAGACGAGAGCGATAGTCAGCGGTGCGCAAGGCGCTAGCTTCACGCAGTGCGTACTCGCTGACAATGAGTTGCGCTATCAATCAGAGAGATAGCGCTACGCGTATCATTAGGCTAGTCTAGATTATTATATTTACCGTACTACAACACGCCTCCTTAAATTTATAATCTAGATCTTAGCATTAACATTCTTTGACATTCTTTAACGTTCCATTGTTCGCGTTTCATTCTGTCTTACTTTTGTTCATAACTTCAGATCAATCTTAATGCTTTTCTATTCTTAATAAACTTTGCTTTGTCTAAACCTTTTGTTAGTATATCAGCTATATTATTGCACGAATCGATTTTTACAATGTCAATAGTACCGTCCTCATACTTCTCATTTATATAATGGTACTGCACCTCTATGTGCTTCGAATTCTTGGTGAGATTACCAAACTTAGCAATCGCTATTGCTCCTGAATTATCTTCATACACTTTTATCGCGCTCTCGAAGTTTACGTCGAATGATTCTCTCAACAAATTTTGAATGAACAATAGTTCTGTTACTGCTTCGGACATAGCCGTATATTCAGCAAAAGTTGAGCATTTCGTTACCGTACTTTGTTTGTGTGTTTTCCAATAGATTAGATTTCCGAACAATCGTATAACAAAGCCTGTTGTTGATTTTCTATCCACGTTATCTCCAGCGTAATCAGAATCTACCATACAATCTAATATATCGCTTTCTAAATTATAATAATACGTCAATTTTAAGGTTTTCGTTTTTACTAAATATTTCAATATTCTCATCGCATACTTAAAATGCGTTTCATCGTAACAACCTTGATAACGACTTAAATAGTTTACACTGTATGAAATATCTGGCCTCGTGCCTGTACTAATATATAGTAATTCTCCTATTAAATTTTTATATTTGATACGTTCGTCTATTTCATTCGCTTGATCTAACTTCAGATTGGTCTCTATGGGGGCTGGTTAGCCCGTTGTCGTTTGCGCAGAAGGAAATGTTCGCTCGCTGGTGGAGGATCGCAGTAGTGAGGTCCGCTTATAGACGAGAGTGAGATATGTGAATAGAGATATATTTACAGATATGTACAAGTACATACAGTGTTTGTTTTAGATCGAGTTTGTGCGCCTTGCGGCGCGTTGCAAAAATATATCTACCGAGAAGCGCGGTAGTTTAGATTACGCTCTCGGTAAGATATGTGAGGGGCCGTAATGGTCACCCTAATAGGACCGTATGGGCACTCCGGTTCCGGCTCGGATTCAGATTCGCTCGTAGTCCAGCCTTTGGTTTGCGTGCTTTGCGAGCGTACTTCCGCGGCTGCGGTCTGCGTCGTCTGACACCTTCCCGTGCGTGGTGGAGATCGCGGCGACGGTGGCAACGGCGAGACCGGAGAGAACAGGCGCGCTTGTATGTAACGTGGGCTGGTGAAGCGCCGCACGCGTAGATCCCACGGGCTTATGAAGATCCGCGGTGGTCGCGTTAAGCGAGGTGGAGAGAGCTCGATCTTGTGTAGCTGCCACGGCCGGTACTCGATGCAGCGTAGGTGTGGTCAGCCTCGTCGAGTCGTTGTCTCTGCTGGCACTGGATCGGGAGTCGCCGCTCCGCTCTCTGTAGGCTCTGCCGCAGCTCCGTTCTCTGTAGGATCCGCCGACTGCTTTGGTCCCTCGTCGGATGGTACGATCTCGCTGACTGCTCTCGGTAGATCCTCGGTGTTGGTCTCGTCGCAGGAAGGCACTCCGTCTGCTGGTTCCGCTCGGGGTTGTCTCCTCGGCGTAACAACTGCTCGCGGCTTGCTGGTGCGCATGAGTCCTCGATACGTCACTAGGAATTATCTTTGGAGTCGATTCGCAGAGTTGGCTTATCTCCGCTCCCTTTTATACTGTAGTTCACCGTTTTTCAATTCCGAGAATGTTATTGTTTTCATGCGGCTTCTAGCGGTGTCTCGTGGAGTTTTGCTCCGGGGGTGTCTCCCTCGGATTGAATGTTTTCGCGCGCGTCGCGCGCGCGGTCGCGAGTTGTATTGTGGTGGCCGTGTTGCCGTTCCGTAGGGGCGCCTACGGCCGCCACAGTCTCCATTGGAGTGTCGTACAATTTCGCCTTTTCAAGATTGTATTTCTTGGCCAAAGATTCAATATACTTGGTCTGGCTTAAAGCCATCATGCCTCTATCATCACTATAGTCAATATCTATTCCAATATAATGCCCAATTTTTCCAAGGTCTTTCATGACGAATTTTACCATTAAACTTTTCTTGATTTCATTAATTTCATCCTTATCTTTACAGCATATCAATAGATCATCAACAAACACTAAAATATATATTGGATCTTTGCCAGAATTGTTCACATATAGACAGTAATCATAGTTACTTCTCTCAAAATTCAGTCCTTTTACATATTCGTTAAAGCACTCGTACCATGCTCTCGGGCTTTCTCTAAGTCCATACAATGCCTTTTGCAATTTCAACACTTTGTTCGCACCTATTTCGTAACCTTTTGGTACATTTATATACACTTCAGATTTCACACTTCCATTTAAAAATGCCGTCTCGACATCCATTTGATCAATAAACAACTTATTTTTACAACTATAAGATAATAAAATTTTTAGCGTTTGCATTTTGCCTACTGGTGAATAAACATTTTCAATATACTCTTTCTGTTGGAAGCCTCTAACTACTAGTCTAGCTTTATAAGTGTTAGCATTTTTCCTTTTGTAAATCCATTTAACATCAATAATTTCTTTATCTTCGGGTCTGTCTACAATTGTCCAAGTATTATTTTTAACTAAACTTTTTAATTCGGAATTCATTGCCTTTTGCCACTCTTTACTGTCGCTAGAGTTCAACGCCTCCTCAAATGTACTGGGAGTATTAGCATTTACATAATTTACATAAATAAAATGTGAGATTGGGTTTCCAAATCTACTCACAGGACTTTTCTTTCTTTCAGATTCTCTTTTTACTGGTAAATTGTCTAGACTGATACTTGGCAGGTTATCGACATTTTCATTATTATTTGTTTGTCTATTATCAGTTACGTTAATTAATTCTTCATCAGATATTTTGCTTTCAGACCTCTTAATTTCATCGTTTTCATATTCAGATTCACTTTCCTCATTTTCTCTATCTTTATCATCATCAGATTTTTCTAGGCAAATTAACTTTACATTTTCTTCAACAACTTGAACATGCCTCGCATTGATTACTCTGTTATTGACTAGGACTCTATACCCATTTTCTGTGTAGCCTACTAAAACTCCTAATTCTGCTTTATTGTCCCATTTACTTTTTCTGAGAACTTCTGGAACTCTAACAAATACTCTACTTCCATAAATTTTTAAATGTTCAACATTAGGTTTTTTATCAAAAAATATTTCATATGGAGTTTTATTCTCCTGTGTATTAGCAATTGTTCTATTCTTTAAGTACGCCACTGCTTTTATTACTTCTGGCCAATAACACCTATGTATTCTAGCCTCTCTGATTAAACATCTACCTATGTCCATAGCTGACCTATTATATCTCTCCGCTACTCCGTTTAACTCATGGACGTAGGGTGGACATGACAGCAATTGAATCCCTTTATACCTGATAAAATCATAAATTTCTTTGTTCAAATATTCCTTTCCATTATCGCATTGCACTTTCTTTACCCTTTTGTTAAAAATGTTTTCAACTTGGTTTACAAATTCTATAAAGCAGCTAGCGGTTTCTGACTTATTTCGTATACAAAAAATTCTAGCGCATTTACTGTAATCATCAATGAAGGTTAAAAAATACTTTTCTCCACTATAACCTACAGTGTTATGTGGTCCATTCAAATCAGTATGAATTAATTCCAAAATTTCTCTAGTCTTTGTCTATTGTTTTTGAACGGTACATTGGTCATTTTGCTTTCAATGCAATTTGCGCATTTCATTTCAATATTTTCAATCTTACTTGGTAAACCTACTACTAACTTATCATTTACTAATTTATTTAAATTGTAA